CGCTCACTTATGCAAATGTTATGCTTCAATAAAAGAATTGCAAGCATTTCAGGCTGTTGAAGGCCTAAACTGAAATATTGTTCAATCAGTTCATTAATGTCATATTCCATTATGTGACCTAAAGCTCAAACCCCTTTCTATCTGCCAATTCTTATCAAAAATATGTCTACAGCAGAAACACCCCTACATCAACAGTTAGTTGGGTTGTGGTTGCCGTAAAATTATAACAAACTATAAATAAGCACATTCGAGAATAAAGTCGAAGTACTTCGAGAATGATGTCGAAGTACTTCGAGAATGATGTCGAAGTACTTCGAGAATAAAGTCAAAGTACTTCGAGAATAATGTCGAAGTACTTCGAGAATAAAGTCGAAATACTTCGACATAAAAGTCGAAGTGAATGAAAGACAAAAAGAAACTGGAATGTCCCTTCAGGGCCGTCGTAGCATTCTTAGGACAGAATCTTCTTTTCAACTGTTTCTGTTTTGCTGTTATGAAACAGGGTTTCACGATTTGTTAAAAAAAAGAAGAAAATCATTGAACAGACCTAAGAATAGAAGGAAAGCCGTTGCTTTTCACCCATTACTGTTTAAATTACCAGCATATTACACAATAGGTAATGGAAATAAGAAATATTTTGTTCAAATTGCTAACTTTCATCATCTGATCTATAGCAGGCTCACATGCCAACTAATATAAAAGTTTGTGCAAAAAAAGTGTAGCTAAAGTGTTCTTTAAAATAGTAAAGTAAATATGACATCTATATAATTAATACGCTACATGAAACTTTGTCGGTTGAACTCCTCCGCCATTTCTTAACCAATTTTATCCATTGACGTCTCATTGGAAAGATCGTGTCGCGTAGATTTGCAAACTGGCCTTACATTTTTGAAAAAGTCCCCTGGGCTCTGCCCCAGTGGCTTTGAAAGTTCCCATGTTGTCCTTATGAAGAACATAATTGTTTACATTTTGATCAGCTGTATAATTTAATTGCTGTTATTTATTATTCAATTCAATGAAACGCATTGAGTACATTTATTTACTATTTGAGTTTGTGTAAACATAACCTCCAAGACGGATCGTGTTAGTATGGTTGTATCTTAAACTTGTGTATTTATCGTTGTTTTGTGTCGCTATGACGGATCGTGTTAGCATGATGGTAACTTAAATTTGTACATTTATCGTTGTTTTGTGTAGCAATAATTTGTTTATTTGTTATTTTTTTTTCTTTTAAATGCCTCCGACGCGACTACAACGAAACATAGACAGGAGGCGTAATCGTGATAACGACCGCAGCTACAGAACAGGGGCGCGTAATAGACTTAACTCATCACAGTCAGCACCTGACCCTGGACAATCTCAACTATTAGGCTACAAATGCGCCCTAACACTATCCCAAAACGACTTTTCGTTGTCAATTGGCCCTCTATCAATGACCTGTGTTGCCTGTACAGCGAGGCATTTTGAGAAGGAGAAAACCGGACGGATTGCTTTAGGTTAGCAATAACTAAGATAAACATGGTCTAAGTTATACACCGGTAATCTTTGAGTTGACTCTTTTAAACTCATTGTAAATATGACTGTTATTCGTTTTGAAATAACTTCTGTAATACTTTGCAATTGCTCGAATTCGAGCAACATGTACACTAGTTTTAACTTATTTGTGTTCACTATTTTGACTGAATGTATTTATCAGTGAATGTACACAGAATACTTTGATCTAAAATAATTCTTTCATCTATAGATTAGTTGCCTAGTCATGGGGTCTTTGTTGTTGAATCAGTTATTAAACTTCTAGTGCTGATTATTATATATCTTATGTCAATAACTTCTTGTTCTTATATATCTTGTGTTCTAATAAAAACTTTTTTGTTTCAGAGTTATAATTTCGTTCAACCGGATAGCCAAATTATGAAAATAATTAGTTACAAGATTTTAAATTCATTATTATCTTCTTTAATTTGACTTAACAGTTAAATCACGCCAATATATTTGTTGTTCCACGAAGTAGTAAAAATAGTCAAATAAAATTGTAAGCATTAGAAATATCTTTTTCTGTATTTTTACCTGACAATTTTCTATTTTTTGGTTATGTTTTTATTTTAAAACAAATTAAACAATTGTTGATTTTCAATGTGTATAATTTATTTACCAGTATACAAAAAAAAACCTCATTCAGTGTTTTTGGGTATAGAATAATGTCCCGTTTTTAGGAGCTACTCATTGAATATTAGGTAAGAGTTATATAATGAGCACATGACAAAACAGCATGGGGCTAGTTATTTTTACTATTACACCTAAATTAGACGCCACTAAAACGGCAAAAGGCCAAATCTAAGAGAAGCATCATGAAGAGCTATTTATAAGTATTGAGGCTGATGAAATGGTCTTCAAGTTTTGTTATGTCAAATCTTTTACTATATTTAAATTAGTTATAACAATACTTGTTAGGCCTATGACAAACTTTGTAAAACACTTGAAAAACAGTTTAAATTTTGCTAGATGTTCATTCATTGTTTTTTTTGTAAAGACTTTTTTTGCTTTACACTTGCACAACCTAATTGCACAACTTAATTAGTTATTTAATTAATTAAGTCATAAATATCTTCAAATTCAAATAAAAGCTTCACTAACTAACCAAAGAAATAATTGAACATACTACTTTCGTTTGAACTGCTTGAGTCAATTTCCACAAAAAATTAAATAAAAATAAATCGACCATTACTATTAAAATTCTTTAAGTCTTTGTTCTATCTATGAAAATTGAAACCATCTATTATAGACCGGTTAATATTGAAATATCATTAGTTAGTAAAGTTTCGTCTTTCATTGATTAGGAAATGTTCTAACAAAGTCCTAAATTGGGTAAATTGCTCATGTCAAAGGTTGTCTTATCAAAATAACCATTAGAATAAGTTTTAAACTAACTGCTTAATAGTTTCAAAGGTCAGTTTTGCTGACAGTTATAATTGCCTTGTCAAACTATTACGCTAAACTTGACTTCTTAAAACACCTATCAAAACTGAATTAGGTATTTAACTTTTGGAAATGTAAACCTCAGGTTTAGTTATAAACTGCGATTCATTGATACATAAAATCTTGGACCCTTCCATCCCACTTAGATAAACAAACACAGGTGGATGTTTATCTTCCGAGTCATAGGATTTTTTTTTTTTTTTTAGCAAATTTCCCTATAGGGAAGTAGCTATTACCGTAGGTGGCATGGTAAGACTTAGGCCTGGGACCGATTTACTTTTTCATTTTGATGTCCCCAGAGGCCAAAAACACCATTCGTTCAAATTTTTATATATGTATATATATATATAGATTTATATATATATATATGTGTCCGTGAACACGATAACTTGAGTAATTTTTATCCGATTTTGATGAAACTTGGTTTGAAGGTGTAAGGCGGGATAAACTTGAATGAGTTCGCGAACCAGCATGATCGGACCATGGGAACGGGGTTTTACGGGGGGTTTTATGGGGTAAAAATTGGTTTTTCTAATTTTTGACCCTCCAAACGCAAAATTTCCCAATTTATCTTCAGACCTTCTTAAAGAGCTTAAAAAAACAAATAATTTAGTATATCAAAGTGTTTTTGTACTATTATTAGTTACGGAGAAAATTCAAATAATTGTTATTTTAAAATTCCCATGTTATTCTTATGGGGAATATTGTAAAATGTTGTAGTCTGCTTGTTTATGGATATATTTTGATCAAACTTGGTAAATTTATTTATTTTATACTAAGTTATTAATATTTCTCTAGAAAACACACTTTTTTACCCTCCCTGTAGCAGCAAGCCTATGTACTCATAAAAATTAATGTTAATTAAATACATTTAATTGAAAATCAATTCAGGCAACTGGAAATTCGCTTAGTCGGCAGGTTTGCTGCGGCGGGGGTATTTTAAAGCCCCTTATAACTGGTTTAATTTAAACCAAGACTTGGCAAACATTTGGTTTAATTTGGCAAGACAATTTAGGTAATAAATGTTTAGTATTTCAGGTTAATTTTGAGAAAATTATTGTAAATTTTAGTTTTGAACCATTCCTCAATTTAAGATAAAGTTGACATCAGATTGGCAAAACAACCCCAAAGCGCAAGGTTAGTAATCTCTACACCAGTTGAGGCTTGTTGTGAGTCAAGTTTTTCACTGTAAAGTAAAAACAAGTTATGAATTCTCATTGCGGTTCTACCATAGACAAAAAGAATTAAATATAGACCTTTAGCTGTGCTGCGGTTACCATAGCTTCTGGCGCACACCACTGGGATGTACCATGTAGTTACGGCGTACGCACTACGTAACTACACGGCCCTCCAAGCGGTGTGAACCCCCCCCCCTTAACAAATAATTCAACCGCCCCCCCAAAACAGTTCTTAAACTACTTACTCTAACCCCCCAATATTTCTTTATAAAACACTTCTGGTGCATTGGACTAAATAATTATAGACAGGCACAATGTAGCAGGATTGTCGCCCCTAAGTTTCAAAACTCTACAATCTTTAAATTAATTAATTAACATTATCCTTAAATGTTAACTCCCCCTCACATAGAAATCCACCATTATTGCTTCAAATTTGACAGAGACTTGAGAAATGCTGAGAGTGCTATCTAGACCACTTCTAGGTGTGCAGGTGTGTAGGTAAACATTGCTCTCGTGTGCAGCAAAGTGCCACTTTCACCACTAGTTACACAAATAACTATTTCCTACTACAGGGATGCTAACAAAATGTATATAAAAAAAAATTAATAGCGTATAAAATTATAAAATTTGCCAAGTGTGATCAAAATATATCCATAAACAAGTAAACTACAACAATTTAGAATAACATAGGAAATTTAAACATTATGATTTTGTAATTGTGTCTGTAACTAAGGAAAAAGTAAATCGGTCCCGAGCCTAGCTGTTACCATGAGACCTACGGTAATAGCTACTTCCCTCACGGAAATTCGCTAAAACAACCTTTAACAATCATCAAAACAATGTTTATTAATTTATATTTTCATCTTTGAATTCAGGTTTCACTTTATCATGTTGGTCGTATCGTTTGTAATCAACTGGTAATGGAGGATAAGTTTCGTCTCTGATGCATATTGATCTTTGAAACGGATATTCGTAGTACCAACACGAGTCGGTGAACGTATCCGTTAATTTAGCACAAGTGATGCTGTATAGATCAGTGCTCGTCTTGGGATCGGGCGAACACCAGAGACCAGGACAGCAGTACACCCATCGGCCGCTATATGACTCCTGTTCTGTGTGGCCACACTGAAACCATGTTGGTACCTTTAGTAAACCAGTTTTTTTAAGGAATTAAATCGAAAATGGTATAGTTTAAATAGCTAACATGAGATATAGAGTCCACGGGCTAAGAGATACTCACAAAACAATTGTTACAAAACATAATACAGGTAATACTGTCTTACCTATAATATACTTCATTCCACACTCATCTTGCACACAGAGAAATCACTCAATGGTAAACTTGGTGGTGTCTAGCACTAGTGCTGGTGACTAACGCAAAGTTCCACCCCTCGCCTTTATGTACTACAACGCTCAAGGTGGAGGAAGAACCCTGTGCCTTGTGCCATAAGAATTTCAGCACAATGCTCACCTTTCGGACTCTTATTTTCTCGTCACAAGTATATTCCTGGCACAACATGCCAGAACTGAAATTTACTTTTCTGCGTCTCGCAGTATGGAGTGTCTATAACCTATGTATTTTGTATGGTAGTTTCAGCGACACTAGCTATCTACACAAAACACCTCATGACTTTACTTATTTCATGCTCTATTTCAGTATTTTACTACCATACTAATTTTGACTATTGTAAACTAGTGATAAGCAGTCACTGGAGAGTATCATGCCCGTGTTTTGCATGTGATGACGTGCCATGGGCTCAACAGATAATAATTGAACCTCCCCCCCTCCATGCTAGGTGCAAAACTCTTCCTTATGCCACAAACCTCCTAAAACCTCTTGCGCCCCTGGGTCCAGGTCTATTCACTAAAGCGGCCCTTGGGGACATGGAGGGGCGAGCAATGTCGAAACACTCTTACCGTGCGTGACAGTGGAGTTTTTTGTGCTGCAGCACACTGGGCAATACATTGTCCAGGAAGTTCATTATCATTTATTTAAAGTCATTTAAGTTCAGTCAATCAATTCTAGGTTATATCATTCCTTCATGTATGCTCAGTTTTTCATATTTTAATAATTAAATAAACTCAGTTCTTTTACAGCAACACATGATTTTAATTTATACGGTCCACTACAAACAATTACATCAGTTTTAATTTGCTTGAACGATAAATGTAACAGAAACTAAGTGACTGACCTAAAATAATAGAACTCTAGCAATATAAGCAAAATTAAAACAGCATATTTGTTTATTCCGGTATGGTAAAGTACAAACATATAGGTAACCATCTTGAGAAATAGTCATATTCATGTTTAGTGAAATGTCAGCAAAATAATAAACAATAGGCCCCTCCTGGCATGTAGGCTATGTTGTCATGTAATATTGCATGACTTTTAAGTTTAGAATCAAGTTCGAGTTATTTAAGAAACAAACTTTTAAACCGCCACCATTTTGTTTTGTGAATTTGAAACATCTTCATAATCTTTTGGTAGCTTTGTCTAGGCCTAGTTGTCATAAATGTTTGCGCAAAGTTTCCATTTCGTATGTTTAACCATTCTTTAGAAAAAAATTAATAACTGAAAAAAACAAAATGGTGGCTGTGTGAGTAACTAAGGACTTCAGGACGTTTTAAATATGATATTTAGGTATGTTTCTTACCCAGGAGCAATGCCCTAAAATATTGGTAGAGAGTTCCGGGACACCCTGTATAACCACTCAGACAGCAAGTACTTTTGATTTTGTTTTAGTCGGTACAAAACTTACCCTGTGATTTTCCTCAGCACAATATCCAAGAGTATTCGAATCCAAGTCATCTACGTCTTCTAAATCTTGTGTTGACCATGGCGGAGGGTAGCGTTGAAACGTTTCCGCATCCTGTTTTGAAACTCCAAAGTCTAACATTAGAAACAAAATAAACATCTTTAGAGACATATTTGCACTACAAGAAAAAACTGTAACAGCTTCTAGCATGTTCATGAATAAACCTATCAAGCTTTAGTTTAACAGACTTATAAAAGTGTTTTTTAAGTTTGTTTATGTTTACGCAAAAACATAATTTATTCATGTGTTACTGTACTGCATATGATTTTAAAAGGAAACATTAGGTGCAATTAATTATTGTAAAATCTTTTAGCACATTCTGTGTATTGCTCTCATATATGTCATATAAACTTTCGTCCTATTTCCAATCATATTTGGACATTTATTAATCATGTTTATTTCTGTTTATTTTAAAACTAGGCTATGTGTGAAAATGTTTTCATCTTAACATAGTTTCAACGAAGAGCAATTGAAGATAATTCAAATTATTGCATAGTGATTAAAGCCAGAAATTTTGAATCTCAATACGGAAACCAAAACTTAAAATAAATCCGAATCTCAATTTTATTCAATTTTATATATTATACAAAAATGGATGTGTAAGAGTTTAAAATACCCTCACCGCAGCAAACCTGCAGACTAAGCGAATTTCCTTTTGCCTCATAGGATTTAACTAAAATTGTCTCCTTAAAAATATCTATTCCCAAATAGAATTAATGCTTTAGAATTTTTATACTTTTCAATCAAATGGTGACCATACAAAGTAGGTATAGTTTAATCACTACTTAGGTTTGTTGCAAAAGGGAGGGTAAAAACGGGGTTTTCTTTTGTGAAATGTTAAAAGTTTAGTAAATAATAAATACATCTTCCAGATTTGATCAATATATGTTCATAAACAAGCAAACTACAACAGTTTTACTATACTCCATAAGAACAACATGGGGATTTTTAATTTATAATTTTTTTGAATTTTCTCTGTAATTATTAGGCGCATAATAACGCTTCCATATACTAAATTATTAGTTTATTTAAGCTCTACAAAATGTTTTGGAAAGAAATTGCTACATTTTATGTTAATGGGGTCAATAATAGGAAAAACCAATTTTTACCCCATAAAACCCCCCATAAACCCCTGTTTTCGTATTCCGATCATGCTGGTTCGTGAACTCGTTTGAATAAATGTAGGTTTAAATGCTTATACCAAATTTAATCAAAATCGGATAATTTTTTTTTGGGTTATCGTGCTAACGGACACACACATATATGTATAAGAGCTTGAACGGATGGTGTTTTTGGCCTCTAGAGACCTCAAAACGACAAAAGTAAATCGGTCCCGGGTCCAGGTCTTACCAAGTACCACGGTAATAGCTTATTTCCTATATGAGAAATTTGCTAAAACCATACAAGGTTTACTAGGGGTACCAACATTAAAAAAAATATGGATATGAAGATACTGTATTGTATGGTTTTCCAGTATTAGTATTTATGATACCTATTGCAGTTCAGATTATAATTACTTGTATCATCAGTGTTGTAGACGATCTGTTTTCCTTATTACCGCCAGCTTGCGTGTAACGTAACAGTGTTTTAATAAACAATAGTAATGATGCTAACAAATGACTGCAGGTCCAGAACCTGAACTGCCAAAATCTTCAATGTTAAACATTTTTAATCTGGTAACTCAACCGAAAACCAAAACTTTTGATGGTTTTGAGATTTGAGATTTGGTTTTGATATTTGAGCAAACTTAACATGCATGGGGTCTGTTTCATAACAAACTACAAACTAGTATTATCAGTTAATCAGCTGATCACCTGATACAAATTTTATGGAAATTACAAGTTACAAGTTACACTTTGTAACTTATAGTTTACTAGCTGGCCCGACAGACGTTGTCCTGTCCTAATGTGGTTTTATGTCAAATGCTTGTTCATTTTCAAGATCCTGGTTGAAGTTCGTTCGCTACGCTCACTCACCTCCAGGTTGGAGCTCGTTCGCTGCGCTCACTTGCCTTCAGGTTAGCTCGTTCGCTACGCTAACTCGCCTCCAGGTTGAAGTTCGTTCGCTACGCTCATTCACCTTTTGGTTGCAAATTAGCTGTTGTCATAAATTTAAAAAAAATCGTGCTGCACCCTGTTGGTAAACTTTTTAATGCTATTGAACATCACAGACTCTAATTGCTTAGTTGAACCAGCTGTTAAGATTCTTTAATTCCATTTTAATATGAGTAAGGTTAACATAAGGACATGAGTAGGTGTTATAAGGTTAACATGGGAAAACTCCAGAGCCACTTGGGCAGAGCCCTTTTGACGGATCTGCACCAAACTTCATAAAAAAAAATCATAAATCTTTATTGGTCATTAAATAACATATGTTACAATAGACCTCGTTAACAAAAAAAGGTGCCAAAAAGGGCCATAGATTCTAGATAGTATAACATGGTCTATAACATGGAATCTTCACTTCATTCCTTCACACAAACCATCCTTGAATAATGCTTAATAATGCCTGAAAGTTTCATTACAATCTGTCAAGCGGTTTCAGAGTCCATAAAGGACAAACAAACAAACATACATTGGATTTTATATATATAGATTATTATTAAACAGGCCCCTGGTTGGTTAAGTGGTGTGGGATAATAGTGTTAATCTAATAATCTTTTGGTTGTTGATTCCATCCTGAGAAAAAACAGTAGCTTCCTGATGATGTAAAGACCAGATAATAGAGATCAATGGTAAACACCCAGCTGTTCTTGAATATTGGACCTTGAACAAATGGTCTGGGTCAATGAAACAGCTGATTCTGTAATAAAGCTATACAACCAACCAGCTATTCCATTCTAAACTCATATCTTACTGGGATTGCTTTCATAGCAGTGAAAGCCAGTTGAGCGGAGCAATCATGTCTCATGGTTTTCAATAAAGCAATAAATGAATAAATCTTTATAGATATACAAAATACAAACTCTGCACTTCTTGCCTTTACTACTTTTGCAGCTTCCTACTTGGACCTGTTTCCCTCCCTTCCCATAGTATTTTAGTATTGCAGATAAATTAATTTAACTGCCACAAACCCCCACACTCCGCACTTCTCGCCTTACTACTTCCTTCACAACTTCCTACGTCGTGGACCTGTTTCCCTCCCTTCCCATAGCATTTTAGTATTACAGATACATTGATTTATCTGCCACAAAGTGTTTCCACAATAGACAATAAAAAATTCCTTTATTACAATTGCATCAAGAAATGTTACAGCGTCATCTATATATATAAAATCTAATGTATGTTTGTATATTTGTATATTTGTATGTTTGTCCTTTATGGACTCCAAAACCGCTCGACAGATTGTAATGAAACTTTCAGGCATTATTAAGCATTATTCAAGGATGGTTTGTGTGAAGTTTGGTGCAGATCCGTCAAAAGGGCTCCGCCCCAGTGGCTCTGGAGTTTCCCATGTTAATCTTATGAGTACTCATATTTAAATGGAATTAAAGAATCTTAACAGCTGGTTCAACTAAACTATCTGATTCTGTGATGTTCAATAGCATTAAAAAGTTAATAGGTTTACCAACAGGGTGCAGCACTATATTTTTTTTAATTTATGAGAACAGCTAATTTGCAACCAAAAGGTGAGTGAGCGTAGCGAACGAGCTCCAACCTAAAGGTGAGTGAGCGTAGCGAACGAACTTCAACCAGGACGTGATTAAGCCATGCGAACGAGCTCATCTTGAAAATGTACGAGCATGTGACATAAAACCACAATAGGACAGGAGGACGTCTGTCGGGCCAGCTAGTTTTAAATAAATAACATTGGATTGGTATAATAGATACAAAGTGAAATGGAAAAGCTTCTTTAGTGTTATGTGTGGTCTTGCCATGCAAATAACTCCTTTAGGGTGTAGAAAGCTTTGTCTAGCAGCCATCTCCGTAGCTTCCTCTTCATCAGCACAGGGCCTCCAATTTTCAAGTGGTCTGGTAGCTTGTTTAGCATCTTCACTCCTGCATAAAGTGGTTTTGTTTCAAACATTGCTGTTCTGTGGCCAGGCAGCACATAGTTTCCTGCATATCTGGTGTTATATTCATGTATATCTCTTTGTTTGGCGGGTCTTTGGTTACACAGTAATAAACACATTCCGCACTTCTCGCCTTTACTAATTCCTTCACCACTTCCTACTTCGTGGACTTGTTTCCCCCCCTTCCCATAGCATTTTAGTATTTTAGATACAATTATCTAACTGCCACAAACGTTTCCCACACTCCGCACTTCTCGCCTTTACTAATTCCTTCACCACTTCCTATGTTGTGGGCCTGTTTAAGTTTACCATTTATGAGATGGATCCATGAATGTGATTCACCGACAAATTGTTTAAGATAAAATGTTATTTTTATGACTTTATTTAGCTACGTTAATCAAATCTGTTAAATACTCTGTACCTAAGAAATTATGTTTTATTTATGACTGTACCTATGAACAGTGGTCGATTCCGAATTCCTACTTAAATGTAAATCTAAGACTTTCTCTGTATTATTTGATCAGTTGTCATCATCCGAATTGTTTTCCTTTGAACTGTGTTCAGGTCCTGGCTTGATTTTAACATATGCTATGATTCTTTGTTTTGTTTACAATTACGTTGTTATTTAGTAACCATCATGGCAACCCATTAGGCCAATGTTAAAATTAAAAAAAAACTTTGAGTTACTTAAAAATTATATAGGCATTAACAAAAATTGAAATTGGTTACGTCTAAACCATCCAAACATTTGACAAACAACCTTTAATCTTTGCATTTTTTACAGCTAATATAATGGGATACTATAAAAATGGCAGCTAGATGATTTTGTATCAATGTAACTTTAATGAAGACAGTCAATTATTTTGACATGAATATTAATTAATTGATTGAGCGGAGTTGAGCGAAGCTCTTTGTGATCAACTTCAATGCAATCTTTATAGCACTTAATCTCAATAACGGCTGAACATATTTTAGCCAAACTTATTGAGCGGAGCGAGCGAAGCTCTTATACGTCGACTCTTATGCATTTCGTAATACGCAAACTCCTCCTAGACAGCTGAATCAATCGTTTTCAAATTTTGCATGGTGATAAAGACCATACCGGTGAGTGCCAACATCTATATGGCGTTAAAAAAGTCTCTCAGGAATCCGCCCCACTGGGTCTCAAAGTTTCAATGTAATCCTTA